TCAGAAATGAGCCTTTCTTGGGACCACCAGCTGGAAAGTTGTTGAGCAGGAAGTTTATGAAAGCTTTGCACACTTGGTGTTTGAAGTCAGATTGAGCTTTTCTTGGGGCCAGCAATGCAGGGGATGGTGTTTATGATAGCTTTGCGCACACCAGAACTGAGCCAGTTCTGGGGGACCTAGTTGGAAATTTATAGGGGAGGGTGTTTATGTAACATTCCTTTGCACGCCTGGTGTTTCAACGAGGTTGGTGATGCAAGAATGGGTCGCAGCTGGAGTTGTGTTTTTCGAAAGCGCAGCTGTGCAGCTGCTGCGGGTTAAAGCAAACTGGAAGGAATCTGTGAGCCCATGTCTGCGGAGCGTCCCTAAAACCTATCTTGAGTTCAAGCTATGAGCAGCTCTGACAAGGACCCATCCTTGGTTTTTCTTGAGCGCGGTGTTCCCACTCAGAAGCGCCCTTGTTATGGGGCCGCTAGCTGGAGAGTTTGTAGGTGAGATTGTTTATGACGGCTTTGCTTTGCAAATGAAAGGTTTCAACCCAGAACTGGGCCTTTTCTTGGGACCAAGTGCTGCAAAGAGTTCCAGAACGGGGTTCCCGTTTTAGGGCCAAAAACGCATGGTTTTCCACGACCGGGTCACAGTTCCTCTATAGCACAGCCGAAAACACACAAACACAACCACAGTCACAAACACACAACCACAACACACGACCACAACACACAACCACAACTCACAACCACAACTCACAAAAACAACACACAACCACAGCACACAAACACAGCACACAAACACAGCACACAACCACAACACACACAGCCATAAACACACAACCACAACACACAACCACAACACACAACGACAACAAACAACCACAACACACAACCGCAAACACACGACCACAGCACACAACCACAGCGCACAACCACAACACACAACCAAAACGCCCCAACACATTCACAAAGAGACAGCCACAAACACACAACTACAACCATATAATTATCAGTGTGTGAGGCGTTTTGCGTGGCAGGTGGTCACAGGGTAGCGACACCCCGACACGAACTCCTCAACGCTACAACAATCCCAAACCCGAGGACCCACAAACAGAATAGAAAACTACAAAACTCACGACCATGGCAACATGCTCATCACCATGGCATGAAAACCAAAAGCTGAGTGTCATGGTGGGGATCACTCAAAGTAAAGAAGTTTTGATTTGGGCGCGTGACAGCTGGCACGGGTGGGCGGGTTGTGGTCGTGTCCGATGACAAGAGTGGCTCCAGCTAAAGACCACGATGATTGGAGAAGACTCACTTTGCAGGGCTCCGAGTTCCTACAAAAAGAACATGGGCCCGTTAGTTCTTTTTAGGTAGCGTTTTTTTTTGTAATATATACATATATATATATATATACATTTGGGGTCATCAAGAATCCCTTGGGTCATTCTGATGACTTGGGAGAGGTTGTGGCCGTCCGTTGTGCAAGTGTGTTTGGGTAAAGGCACCCATTGCCGCTCAACTTCCATTGGCGTGCCCCAAATCACAGGGAACATCAGGGAACAAAACCAGTCAAAAAACCATCCAACAACACCCAGTTCGGGTAGGTTTTGTTCCCCCCAAAAAAACAACAAAGCGTTTGTTCCATCCAATATTCCATCCAACTGGGTGTTGCTGAATGTCGGAATGTTCCGTGATGTGTTGAAATTTCCAATCCAACCTCTTAGACTCTCAGTTTTTGCTCCTCGCCAGGATGAACTGAGCGACCAGGACCAGATCGACCACTGAGCCGTCTCTCGCCGGGGTCCTCCAAGCAGCCGCCCATCGATGGGTTTTGTTGCGCGCTTCATGTCCATCGAACGTTGACGGATTGGACCCTCAAAAACGGTCCATCGAACGATTCTCGAGCATTGTGTCCTAAGACTCTTGAGACTACGTCTACGTTTTTGATGTCGCAGATCATTGGAATTTTCTCGGCACTTCTTGACACGTTGATTCATGTTTTTGTTCAGAATGTTACTTTGAGAATGGTGGATGAAAATTGTTTGTTTCGAGAAGTGCCTTTGACTTTGCTCTGTCCCTTTTTGCACAGCGAAGAACAGTGCCGCGAAGTGGCATATGTCTTATCCCTATGCTTCCAATCATCATTGATCTAATAGCCTGAATCCTGAACAACCGAGTTGTTTTGATAAGGATGTTACCACTGCAAAACCAGCTCGTTCCCAATTCTTACATGGCCGAACGGAAGGCTAGGGTAATATGATGTTGTTTTCCAGTGTCCGGAGAGCAAGGCTGGGCTTCTTTTATCCGATCTCCATTCGCTGTTGAGGGGAACAAACCAAATTTGTTTGGAGCGAACAAACAAAGCGAAGGCCTCGCGGACATTCTCGTGGTGTCGGCAAAGCCAGTCGATTTCAGGAACAACCAAGAGACCCTAGAGCTCCAAGTACCTTCTAAGAAAGTGTTTGAGGTGGGTTTGGAGGGTCCAAGTACCTTCTGAGGAGGTACGACTGGAACCCTAGGGAGAGGTTGAACCGCCCCTTTTTCGCCTATGCCTATCCCATATGTAGCACTATCGGGTCCCATAAGTTGAGTGAGCTCTCTCAACCTCTCTTGGAAGTCGTATGCTGAAATCATCGGTGCTCTTCAAACAGGTGCATAAAAAGACAAACAAAACAGGTGCAATACCAGGTCCAGGTCCATCCTACCTAGAGATGTCCAGCATGAATACCCTGGAGTTGACCTGTTGGTATCTCGCAGTTCATGGGCACAGATGGTCCTTACCGTTTGTTCTTTTTCATGTCATGTCCCCGGTTCCAGGGTACAAACTGGAGGCTTCAGGTACCAGGACCTGGTGCCTAAGCCACGTGACCGTCCTGACGAGAAGACCCGCACCGGCCCGGGTCGGTCACGGGAGGTCTCAGAGACGCGACGAGAAGAGGTCACGAAGACTAAGGTCCTGGTACCATGCGCACTTCCTGTTCCTGTCCGGGTGCCTACTCCAGTTGGAGACCTGTTTACGTAGGGTATAGTCTATACACCCAGACAGGATGATCCTGGTAGGTGCAACATGGTTTCAATGAAATTCTCCTCGAAATCTTTGATCGAGGTCTCTTGAAGTTAGGCACGGGCGTTGCTTTGATTCCTTGCTTCCTTGCTTAATGTGTGCATCCCTTTTTGCTACTGCTACAGGTCAATCAACCAACACCACCTTGCCTGAATGTTCCTTGCAATACCCTTCCCTAGAAGTCCAATTTGACTATTTTTGGGACCACTGAAGGTTTCAGAATATTCCGTTCAAATCGGGGCATCGTTCGTCAGACCATTTTACAAGACGACAACGGACTCGGAGGATCTTCTCGAGGGCTTGGAATATCACTCCGGAGCATCCTTCGGGCCATCTCACAGGGTCTTTCGTACGCTCCGCCCTGTGCGGGGCCCTGCGCAGCACGAAAAACATGCGAAGTGTCAGGAGACGACGCCAAAAGCTATGTTCATGGTGCTGCCATTGGCCGGATTGAAGCCAACACGCGCACGCCATTCAACTCTCTAAGAGGGACACCGTGCAACTAATTGGAGCATGAACTGCTCCTGGCGCTGCGGCCCTGTTGTGCGTCCCGCACTTTGGGTGAGGTGAACGAGACTTTGGAGATGAGTCAACAGAAGAGAAGAATCAGTACTGCCAGTCCGGACTGCCAGGGGGTAGTGCCAGGGGGTCAATGTAAGCATATCTGCCAGTCCCATTCGTCGTGTCTGGGGTAGAAGTGTACGTACCTGGGAGCTTGGTTCGTTGAACATGGGACGTTTGACCCGGAACGAACAAGCAGGTACGACTGGCACCCCATGTTCCCAGGTGCGAACCGGTCGACGAACGGTTCGGAGCAAGAACGCTACGAACGTAGCTCCTGGCCGCTACTAGGAACAAGGACGCTACTAGGAACAAGGGCATCGCTAGCAGCAAAAGGGCATCCCTACTAGGAACAAGGACGCTACTAGGTACAACGTTAAGCTTTGAAACCAGGTGCAGGGCATGCAGCCAGTCGTTCTGACGCGTACGCGACGGAGAATCGCGGGACTGCCGCCGGAGAGGTGTGCGGTCCGAAAGACATTTAATCCTTTCCCTGAAAGGGGAAGTGGCACGTGGCAAGTACAAAAGAGTTGTTGTGCACTGTGCCCAACTGCTTGAAGTCGAGTTGCAAAACGGTTAATGGAATTTATTCTACCCAGACGCTCCGTTCACAGCCCTTTCCCAGTCCTGAACCAAACCGGGTTCGAAACCCCAGACCCCCGAATACCCGAGGAAAACGGCGTGACGGACGCGTTTGGAGTCACCCAGACGGGACGAGTCTGGGACTGCCATATATACCAGACACTCCCACGACCCTCCAAGGGGTGCCCTGTCTGGAAGCCCAAAGGTAGTGTGGGGTAGTCCATTAGACACCCCGACAGGACGGTCCTGGTCCATGTATACTTATATGCCTACATTGGGGTGGTTTGGGGGGTCCCCAATGTAGGCATATATGGTATACATGGAGTGTCTGGGTATATGACTGCCGCCCCAGAAAGAACCCCCCAAAACCAACCCCCCCAGGCCGAGAAACTCTGCAGTCCGGACTGGCAGTCCCAGAGTCGATGCCGTGTGGACAACACAGATGCCGTTGTTGGCTTCGTTGGACTGGACGGTGCTCGCGTCCGACTTGGACTGGGGGGGGGGGCCTGGAAACCACGAAGCCTTCGGGGTGCGAAGGGAAAAGGTCCACATGGGCCCGTGAAATGGATTGAATGTGGGCCCCAGCAGGAGTTGAATAGATTGAAGATGTTAGAATCCCGTTTCGCGCGGAGCTGTTTCGCTAAGAATTTTAACACTTACAACACCAGGTCTTGCCCATTCTTGAAAGAATGGTACAGCTTACGGTGGAAAGCTGCATGGTCGAACACCATTTCACCGTGGATGGTGAAGGGTGAACTCAGGGAACACCCTTTTTAGACACAGCCCTCTTTAGATCGCAGGTTAGCCACCTCGCCGGCACAGCTCCTTGGTCGTGTGGCTGGGAATCGGGTCCGTTTCTAGCCAAGGCTCATTTGTGTGGAGGCTCTTTGGGTGGTTTCAAGATGTGGAACGTTCAAAAAACACCGGACATGTGGTTTTTTTAAATGTAAAAGATGCACTGTGATCCTGTCACTCAGGAGCTACTAGTAGCATCTTGTTACTAGTAGTGATGGCCTCCAACCTAATAGCGATGGCCTAATATATTGAATGAATCTCTCTTTCCAGGGCCTTTTGGTGGCTGTCTTCCAATTCAATGATCTCTTCTTAGTGAAGTTTGTGCGTCCATTTGGAGCCCCTCAGTCGTACCGTGCTTTGGATTGCAAACCATTGCATTCCCATTTGGATTGTAAAACCTCTGTATAATTCGATCTTGATATATAGTTATGTTCAATTGTAACTGGCACCTTTCCAATTCCAAAACAAGACTGGCTCCTCAAAATCAGACTTCAAGATGGTGCCAATACACCCAACAAAGCATTGTTTGTGTTCCAATCGATCGCGCCGGAACCGCTTCTTTTTTTTGCTTCCCCAAGTTTGCAGTCCTCTGCAAAGGGCACAGCTTCATGTGCCAGCAGCTCAACTAATCGCTTAGATCACCACATATAATATATTATGAACATCAACAATTCTATACATATATCCCTAGGCCTCCAGTCATACCTTCTGAGGAGGTACCACTGGAGGTGTAGGCTACATAACCTTGTGGTCCATGTCACGAACGAGCCTTCGGGTTCCGTACGAACGAGCCTTCGGGTTCCGCTGGAGCCGGACGTTCGCGTGGTAAGAACCGGTGCAAAGGAGCAAGAGAGGTTGAAGAACCCAGACTATCCCAATAGGTTGTACCTGGACCCGACGATATACAGGTCTCCGACATGGAGGCGACCTTGTAGACTTGTTCAAGTCGCAGGTGGTGACCTGTGAAGTCGGGTCCTGGTAGATGGTAGCTTCGAAGCTACATAGATACCTTCGGGCATCGCTACTAGTATAGCGAAGGCATGACTAGCTTCGAAGCTACTAGATACGTTCGGTGCCTGACTGCCGTAGCTTCCTACAAACACGTGATGAGGAGAGCCTTGCACGCCATCGACTTGGAACTGGAGTCCCGGCCCGAGAGCTCCTCCGACCGTCGATAAAACCGAGCTCGGCTTAAGCAGGGCGGCACCTGCCGGGCGGCGCCCTGCCTTTGAAAGAGAGTCATTCTGCGCCGCGTGGCAGCGTATAGTTGAGAGAACTTTGTTGTGGACCGAGAATGCGTTGTTGGAGTCAACGTGGCGCTTTGGGAAACTCCTTCCAGCACCCTACTACAGGTCACCACCTGCGACTTTGAAGTCAAAAGCCTCCATTTCGGAGACCTGTATATCGTCGGGTGCAGGTATAAATCATGCCCTCCAGGAGCATGCGTTGCTCAGATGTCTTGCCAGGCCCCAGTTTGACCCTTTTCGGGAAGTACGTACTGACCTCCAATATCTACCCTATACAAGTCCATTCCTAGCGCCAACAGCAACAACAACAACAACAACGTTAAAAATTCAGAAAGCAAAGATGTCTGGGGGCACGCAGTGTTGGCATCAAACCTGGCATCCATTATGATCAACACATGCGCTCACAGCATGACAAACAAGCATTTGTGTCGGAGGACCCAGCTAACCAGGCTCATGTGATGCTACAGGCAACCAGAACTCAAAAATTAAAGATAAAGATCTGCTCCCAGCAGGACAAAAGGTGCTGCAGCATGCATGGTCAGCAACAAAACAGGACAACAAGTGCCAAACATGTCCAAACCACGCCCTTCAGAAAAAGGTGCTCGTTTGGTCCTTGTAACATGTTTTGCGTACCACTTGCGGGTTTTGCGTACCGCATGGGGAATTTGCGTACCAAAACTCTGAAAGGACACATTTTTCTGTACCACAGGAAGGTCGAGGCAGGTCTTTTACATTCTTACCCTAAGGGTCCAGGACCATCCGTTGCTCGGATGGTCGAAGGGAGGTTTTCGTACGTACGAAACCTGAGAATGGTCGTTGCCTGGGGCCGGACATCCGAGCTGCTCGGATGGGCCCAAGAAGGTTGGGCAGTCGCATGAGGACCCCGAAAATCCAAGAATCCATGTCCGTACGAAACATCGTGCAACCGGCTCTGGAAAATACTGCTCACACGCACCTACTGGATACACTGGATCACACCGATCGCCCAGACGGGATGGGTGGGTTGGAGAATGACCCTCTCGTCCGTCCCACCTACGACTGGAGCCCAAACGGGACCTGAAGGGTCATCCTTCATAAAGAGTCCGGTCCCATGACATTGATTCATGAAAACAATTAATCACAAAAAGAAGCAACCTGCAACATTGAAACATGAAAAGAGCATGCTCTTGACCCAACCAGGAGCACCTTCTCCATGCAGCAGTCGGACTTGTGACTGGCCGTTCTTTCCGACTCCTTCGCCGGATCCAGGTTTGGCACCCAACGCCTCCGGCGGATTCGAGACGTGCTGGTGGGGGGCACATCGGAGCGATCGGAGACACCGCTGCGCAGACGAAGCGCGAGGGATCACACGACGAAGACGCGAAGACGGTGGGGACTGTTTATCCCAGACACGACGTCCGTCTGGGACTGCCAGTCCGGACTGCCGAGAGTTCCGGCCAGGAGTGGTGACAGGGGGGTCAATGTAAGCATATATATATATATGGCAGTCCCATGGAGCGTCTGGGTATAGCTTTCACAATCCCGAACCTGAGAAGGTGGGACTGGGGTGGGTGCCAGGAGGGTCCAGCCACACCTTCTGAGGAGATACGACTGGAGCCCTAGGGAATGTGAATGTTGAATCGGAACTGTCACGTTAAACATTCAGAATTGAATTGAAACATACACTAAATTTAGTTCAGTTCAGTGAAAAGGTGAATGGCAGTTGAGTTTCCTTTTGCAGAGGGTTTGCGCACATATATGCTCCCCTCACTTCCCCTTCCTGTGAGGAAGCTTCTCGGTCCACTTCTGGTCAGGCACCCAGTGGCTTCGTTGGAAAAATCATGAAAAAGCATAGGACTCGCAAAGTAGTGGACCTTCGACAAAAGCACAGAGCACCTTTGCAAGGACGGAAACGCTATTTGGATCAGATTTGCGTTTGGCAGGTTGGCTAATCGTCAGGGCAACTATGGGCAACTGGAAAGATGGACGAAGATGGATATCCGGATGGTTTGGGAAGTACCTCTATTGTTGTCGTACCTCTATTTGTTCCTAGCCTCGGGTCATGTCCCATGTTCGAGGCTACGGATTTTCCTCGTGTCAGGGACCTTTGAGAAGCTAAGGCCGCACGAGTTTGATGTCGTCCAGTGCATGGAGAGGCGAGGGTTGCCATCAGCGCAAGAGGAGCGATGTTGTATTGCCTCCACCCTAATAAGGTCCTTGCTCCGGTCGGTTCGCGATGCCCTTTGGTACCAGGAATTAGCTTCTTGTTACTACAGGTGAAACGATTCCCAGTGAAACGATTCCCTTTTGGAAGCTTCTTGCTCCACCTCCCAGACGTGGCGTTCCGACCCTTTGGAAGAAATGAAAGACCCAAACGCGACCCTGGACCCAAATCCTTTGTGGGGGGCTTACCCTCATATGGAAGGGTCTTCGGTCCGGTTTTGAGTGACCAAGGGCTGTTTGGAGCATTTGGGTAGACAAATTACTGAACTATACATGGTTGTGCGGAGACTGGGGAGACACCTATTTCATGATCATGGTTACGTGGATCGCATGGCCTCTTTTTGATGACCAAGTCAAACACCAAGGTCCAGGTGGTGTTCACTCCACGAAAGGGATCTGATCGATGCTGGGAGTATACCATGGACACGACCACATCGTACCGAAATGAAGAAAACCGTATCCGTTTGCCGAAACCGTTCGACCATTTGGATGGGACAGACCTGGTTTTGCAATCTAAAATGCACAGTACAACGGTGGTTGTTGGGATTCAGACATTGGACCCTCCCAAAGGATCATTGGACCCTCCGAACTGGAGGCTTTTGACCCTGCAGAACGCAGGGGTTTGGACCCGAACCAAACCTTCACCTTTGAGGGTCCTTGATCTTTAGGCCTATGCAATTCATGCTTTGGCTCCAACGGAGTAGCAGTGGTACGACTCGACGGATGCTTCATGATGGTTCGGAGGTACGAACTCACAGGTCGACTCGAAAGGCCACAAGTTTTGCTTCGTACTAGCGTGGCACTTGTTACTACTAGCGTGGCACTTGTTACTAATAGCTTCTTGTTGCTATATTTGTCTTGGTGAGGCGCCGGCTTTGTCTTGGTCCGGCAAATGCTGCTGGAGGAAGTTTGCACCAAAGATTTGTCTCTTGGCCCGCAAGATGTGTGTGCTGCTGCCAGTGGCTGCGAAGCTGTGGGTGGGTGGGGTTTGCACACCTGCCCTTGAGTTCATGATACTTGCGTGCCTGAGTAGTCTGGCTGTTTGCCTAACTACATGCAGGTTTTCTTGCTTAAGACTAGCATTCTATGAGTTGTGCAATTGGGCCACAGGAATTGGCACGCTGGATGGGTCTATCTCAAGCCAGCTACAGGTATAGGAGATGGTCGAAGCCTGCTAACTCAGCCACCATGCGAATTGGGAATCTCAAAGATCTATAATCTATGATCTATCCTTTTCTGCAGATGGTTCCAACATGTTCTAAGATGTTCTAAGATACCAGGCCACCGGAAGTGGATTCCACTTGGAAGTGTCCAAGATACACCTTTCTCCTGTTCTAGATTCCATTTGGCTGCAGAACAAACATCAAAACACATCAAGAAAAACGCCTTTCTCCTTGTTCCTCCATGTGTTTGCCAAGCGCCAGGCGTCACTTCTTGCTGCAGCTGCAGTATCTGGGCTTCGCAAGCCGGAGCCGCATTTGGCGCAAGTCCTTGGAGCATCGAGCGGTTCGGAGAGCCCAGCGGAGGTTGAAGAGGTCGGGTGTGTGCGGCAACAGTGGCCGGAAGCGGTTGGCAATAGTACCCGCCGACAGGTCAATGATCTGAATTACTGCATGTGGTCATTGGATGAAAAAGAGGTGTTACTGGTTCGGACTGGACTTGTAGGGGTATGTTGCAATACCTGGACTCGACATGTGAAAATACCTCGGAACATGGATAGCTGTTGTTGTCTTCAAGTCATGCCCCATTTTCTAGAGTACGAACGAAGTCGGGTTCAGATGGTAGTTGAAGTCGTGTCCAGAATAAGAATTGGAGTGTGGGTGAGGAAATGCAAGCTCTTTATTTAGCGACAGAAGTGCTGCTGGAGCTGACAGACGGCACAGACATTTGGACAAATCCATGTCCCTCTGGTTTGACGGAACTTGTGCTTTCCAGAAACGACAAATGTTCTTCCGCAGACCAAGGGACTTGAATGAGGCCGCCACTTGAGGTGCATGTCGACAAAGCAAAAGAAGCAGTTTAGCAATTTGTTCACTCTTGGCACTCAGTTGACGAGCGACCAACTGGTGTGTTTTCCACTGAATTTGACAGGTATCTAAAGAAATCTAAAGAATGTCCGATGTCGAAAGAAATAAAGCAAGGAGAAAGAACAAAGACAGCAACGGCTATATGAAAGATTTTGAAACAACATGTTAACAAGAGAAACTAATTACAAGATATGCTCATATGTTAACATATTTTAACACATATATTTAGTTGTTTCATTTCTTGTGTTTTTGTCCCGCAGACTGGCCTCCAAGGTCCTGGAGATTGCCTGTGAGGGAAGCAGTGGAGGTCAGATCCGGAAAAGCCTGGGAGGGGCAGGTCAGACAGGTTGAAAGCATGAAAAGGGCGAATTAAAAAGAGATAACTATACCCGGAGTGGATGATCATGTATACCATAGGTTTCCTATAATGCTTAGGGGTCCACAACCATCCTGAGAATGTCTTTTGGCCCCAGGCAACCACCATTCGCAATTCGGAAGTACGTACTCACCTCCATTCGACCATCCGATCTCAGCAGAAACCTGGACCCTATGGGAAATACAAAGGAGGTACCGTAACTAACATACAACGTGCTAGAACTATTATTATATACCCTAAGGATCAAGGACCCTCAAAGGTGAAGGTTTTGAGGGTCCAAACCCCTGCTATGCAGGGTCAAAACCCTCCATAGGAGGGTCCAATGATCCTTAGGGTAAGTAGCTTCTTGCTACTAGTAGAAATGCCCATCCTTTCGCGCTTTAGCGTCCTTTCTCGCTCCGTTCGAGTCGCGAGGCCCGTCCGATCGCTCCGTTCGTAGCTTCGTGCTAGACCTCCGTTCGACCATCCGATTCGGATGGTGCTGGACACTTCTCAGGTTCGGTACGACTGGACCCTCCTGGCACCTACATGTCGCGGTGTCGAACACATCACCTCCTGAGAAGGCCGGTACTTGGATCCCTAGAGTTAGGGACAGTCAAGTTCTAGGACGGACACGCCGACCGGACGTGCACGACACCTGGAGGCCGTCATCGTGTGATCCCGTCCAACCTCGCGCCCCTTCTTTCGGCCGGGGAAGCCCACCGAAGTCGCTGAAGGGTTCAGCGCCCTGAAAAGGTGGCAAGGACAGATCTGTCTGTGATTAGATCTCTATAGCCTTAGGAAATAGCTGGAGAAAGAGCTGTTTGCAGATGGTTTTTCAACTCACGAGGCCTGGCTGGCCTGGCTGTTTGCACGAGCTGAGGAGTCATTTCTTCATGCCTTTGACAAGTCATGTGGCCAGGTACAGTCTCCAAATAGTTCCATTCCCCATATCCTTCAGAGATTCATCACGGCCCTTACCATCACGTCAAGAGTTCGGTTCCCAACGACTTCAGGTCGTTCCCCATCCCGTCTTGGGGGGCACGAGACCGCCTTCACCGTCTCCATTGGATGTGTTTGGTGTGGCACGCATTGGTCCCCCCCGGAAGGATCGGAAGATAGACCAGTCTACTCCAGAGAGTGGAAGGTCTCCCTGAGAACAGGTTACCATATATAATGAGCACTGTATTTGGTTGCTCCTTAAGGGCTTTCCCTATTTTCCCTTGAAGTTTTCAGTGTATGATATCATGTGTGTGTGTTTTCCTAAGAAAACTTCCAAGGGAAAACAGGGAAAGCCCTTAAGGAGCAACCAGATACCAAGGCCCCCGAGCCAGGGGTGGTACTAATGGACATCATCCCTTAACCTCTAAAGAGCTATAATTGGACACCCCGAAACGGGGGCCCTGGTATATATTCCCTAGGGCTCCAAGTACCTTCTTAGAAGGTGTTTGCGGAGGGTTTAGAGGGTCCAAATACCTTCTGAGGAGGTACGACTGGAGCCCTAGGGATTGTTCTTTTCTTTTTTCCCCTTCCCTGACCGGTTTTCAGTGCTCCCATTCCGCCGAACGGTCTCAGGTGCCCTTGGGGCCCACGAACCGTAAACGGCTGGAACGGGCGCTCCAGGACGCGCCAAAGAACCGGCTGGAAGGGACGGAATGTGCTGCGTTTTTTTTCTTTTTTTCTGAAGGGATAGTGAGATCAATCCAAAGTTCGATGAAGATCCGATCTTGAATGATGATCTAACTTGCTGAATTCAAGATTGATGTTGTTCATAGCGGCTATACGTGGAGAATGGGTGGAAGGAAAGATGGTGATGAGATGGGATATCGGGTACGCCATGGCATGCCATGCCTTCAGTGCCCTTTTGCATGACTTGCCAGATGTATGTTTCACGGATCTTGCGGGACAACCTAACGGAATACCCCCCTGGAAGTCCAAGACTATGGATTTAATGGTTGAGCCGAGCTGTTTTTGTGGTGTATAAAACCTATATAGTAAAACAATGGTGGTTTGGTAACAAGAAATCATGGTGGGCCAGGAAGCCTAACGGAATACCTTGCCAGATGATGCAGGGTTTGGTCCAACCGAAGACTTCACTCGAGCTTGTGCAAAGGGACACGGCCATGCAGCCAGGAGCGTGAAACGACCGCTATTCTGGGACCGGCAGTCCTTTTCCTCCTGAGAAACGGCCCAGGGGTGGTTGACTTCAGGGGGTCAATGGATGTAAAGATCGCCAGTCCCATGGGCCTTTGAAGAGGTATCTATAAGCCCGGCCCAGGGCAGTACCTCCGAAAAACTAGGCACAAGATGGTACAAGTCGACCTGTTGTTTTGCATGGGGTCATGTCCCCTAAGGGTCCAGGACCATCCGAGCCCAGCAACGGATGGTCCTGGACCCTTAGGGGGTCCTATTCTGTTCAGGTCCGAAATGGTCCGCTGGGTCCAGGTAAAGGTCTTTCTCCCCGAACCCCAACAAGCGATTGCCACCCAGGCATCTGAGGCAACCTCACGCCCCGACACGCATGGAAATCAGGAACAAGAGGACGCAGAGGACGCTAGTAACAAAGGGCATCGCTACGAACGGAGCGATCCGATGCTACTTGGGGCGCTCCTGACCTTACTATAATCCAAAAAGAAGCTACTGGTAGCGTTTGGACGCTATGCTCGGTGGAGGCCATCGCAAGTAGGTTGCCATCGCTACTAGTAACAAGAAGCTACTCCCAGACACTCCATGTATATATGCCATATATGCTGACATGGAGCCCCCAGTCAACCACCCCGTTTCTCGGCAGTCCGGACTGGCAGTCCCAGACTGGTCGTGTTTGGGACTAGTACTTCCGTCCCAGGAGTTGGCACAAGGCTTTTCCTTGGGCGGGGAGCCGAGCTGTTCACAGTGCCAACGGTCCGGCCAGCCGTAGATGGATGAAGAGTTGGAGGCTTGACCAGCAGAGGTGGAAGAACCCGAACTAGGCTGTCCCAATAGGGTCCCCCAATATATAGTTCAGCTCACTTAACCTCTATCTTAGTTCTTCATAATGAAACGAACGGCCCGTCTTGGTAGTTAAGGCAGACAGTGTTTTTTTTTCAGGAAGGAGAAGGAGATGAAAGGGATACCATTCTGTTCCTGTAGTCGCTTTTCAGTTCCTGAGGTCATATATCAATGCAGCCCGACCGCGGCAAGACCTTTGCACACCAGGTGAGTGGTTGGCCGCACTGTCTGGCCCAGATGCTCCCGAAACGCTTCAAAACCGGATTGAAGACCCAAGGCCTCAGGACCCGTCCAGGATTCGGGTCGCGTCTGGGGAACAGCCATGCGGGCCATGGTGGTGCAGGCTGGACGAGTGAAAGAACTGCCGTGGGTCGGCGCACCTGATATAAACCTGAGATCATCCTGCCCTAAGGATCATTGGACCCTCCTATGGAGGGTTTTGACCCTGCAGAACGCAGGGGTTTGGACCCGAACCAAACCTTCACCTTTGAGGGTCCTTAATCCTTAGGGTGACATATGTTTCCGGGAAGGTGGAGAACTTTTGATCTTTTTGGGACCAGCCTTCACATTGTCAGTGGAGAACCCCAGCCTTCACGCGTGACTCACGAGTGGTGGCCATATCGCTTGTAGCTTGGAGGCCGCGAATGTGGGGTGGAAGCAGTGGAAAAAGGAAAGCACTCACCGGGACTGACGAACTCCCGAATTCTTCAGCGGACCCAGCGGAGGACGAGTGTCGTTTCGCTCAGCGTTTCGGACGCCGTTTGACGGTTCTGGAGATGTGGACGGAGATGCGACTGTTTGGGGGTTCCGACCATCAATTAGGTGTTCCTCGAGCGACATCTCTAAGTTTTGGGGGGCTGGACTACCTCCAGCCAGGGGGGCCCCACATGGCCCATCCAAAAACCTGGTGTTCCCGGTTACGCAAAAAAAAAACATGCTTTTTGTATGCCCTAGGGATCCAAGTACCTTGTCAGCAGGTGATGTGTTCGACACGGCTATGTAGGTGCCAGGAGGGTCCAAGTACCTTCTGAAAAGGTACTTGGAGCCCTAGGGATGTGAAAACCTTTGTTTTTTCCATGGCGTGACCGGGCCTTTGGTTGGATTCTTATTTTGACCGGGAGAGCCGAACTCGGCTCGTGGCACCAGGTGGGGCTGTCCTTCCAAGACCTCTTTGAAGCACAACAACACAAGCGGGGGCGGCCCAGAATCATCCAGAAATCGCTCCGAGCTGCACCGAGCTGCGTCCGACCTGTGACGTCGCTGCGCCCACGCTGCGTCGACCGCCGCCGTTCGGCGCCGAGGTGGCAGTTTCGCGCCGGGGCACTCGATGCGGCGGTGGGTGGGTCCAGAAATCCACCCCCGGTAGGACCTCCGGGCGCGAGCGGAGCCATTTCGCCAGCGTTGCACAGCGTTTCTTCGTGCCCCTGCGTATGATCCACCGGGAAGGTGCACCAGGTTCCCAACAGTCGCCAAAGGGTCATAGCATCGGTTGGAACCGCCGGCGAAGCCGTCGTGGTCAGAGCCATTTCAGGGATGGCAGCAGGGACACCAAGTGAATGGCACTCAACTTGATGGAGCTGATGGCCTCCACCCTAGTAGCGATGGCCTCCAACCTAAGAGTGATTTTCTTCAGCCCGAGGTCTATCCCATTGACTCTTGCCTGAGTGGTGCTTCCTCCGAGCCTGGCCGCTGCTCTTCTTCGCTTCGGACAGAGGTGTCGACCCCGCCCGCGACCGGCGCACACCCTCAGTCAGAGAACGCCTTCAGCCCAATCGCAACATGCACCTCAAGGACTTCCGAAGGTGTGAGGATGCCAGTGGCGCCCATCGCCACCCTACTGTCATGATTCACCAAAACCTTCGTCGATCTCCCCACTGCCAGGTGGAAGGCCGTTTCTTACGACCCTCCTCGTGGGTGCAGCACTTGCCGAAGCCAAAGCTGGCCGGAAGCCCCGTGTCGTCGGTGTATGAGAGAAGATTGGATGATGAGTGTGTCTATTACATGCCCTAAGAATCCTTGAATCCTCCATAGCAGGAGTCTGGACACTCGAAAACTCCCGGAATCCTTGGCTTTATATAAATGACATTAGTGTGTTTTCTGCGTTCCCCTGGACGAAGGCTTTGGATTGTTCCATGGCCCAAGGCTGTGGGCCTTGAAAGCACTTGCAATTGAATGCGATACTTGGGTTTTCCTGCCTGGGTTCGGTCCCTTAAGCCCAACAGAAATGTAGCCACAAAAGTGTCCGCGTGGCGGGCCGTGTTCAACTGACCAGCGCCCGTTTCGGCGATTTCGAGGGTGAGAGTCCCTATCGACATACCCTGTCAGAAGGTGAGGAAGGAGACACTTTTTCATGGAGGGTTCGTCCAGTCGTACCGAACCAAAGAGAAGGTGACAGGGTGGATCCCTAGGGCCGTAGGGCCCTAGGCGCTCGTTGAGGGCTTGCCTGTCGCCGATGTCCATCCGATCAACAGAACTGCTGGAGGCCCCCGCCTGCCCGGCCCGCATGAAGTTTCGCCGTGAGGCCAGTGATCTGGAAGAACAAAAGATCCTCCTGGAAGCCTCTTATGCCCGGAGACCGTCCGATTGAACGCTTGTCGCTTCGGTCGCGCGCGAAAATGCATTTTGCGCCGTTCAGGGTGGGCAGAAGCGGGATGATCTGATCTCCATTTTGCCCCAGCGGAATGAGGCTGAGCGCACCATCTACTTTGAAGTGTCAAAATTTGAACTGACGAAGGTACTTGAAGCCCAGCCTACAGAAAAAAGCGGGCTCCCATCGCCCTCTCAGAGGGTAGCAGTGACTCCATATAGGGATTCCTCTTGGAAATAGTTATATTCCTGCATGCATGCACACGACGTGTCCATTGTTTCTCAAATGATGTACCATTGTTCTCATGTGTTCACTGTCTTCTTTGAATTTGGTGGATGCCTTAGCCAATTCACACTAAACGAATTCTTGCCGGGACCAGCGCTTAAGATGTGCTCAAGATATGCGTTCTTTTTCAACCTAAGAATCCGGGCCCTCAAATACATATAGTATACATATTTATATATATATATATTATAGCGTTTTGATGCGTTTTGAGGGTCCAGACTCGGACCCCTGTCATGGAGAAAGAACGTTTGAGACCAAGATGCGGAGACCCAAGAAAAGTGTGTAGTGGGAACACATGAAGCAATATGACTCCAACAATCCATTTATGGAGTAGCAAAGCATGGACCCTCAAAAGCATCTTAAGCCAGCCATCTCAGCAAATCTTCCAGTCCTGTAGATTGTTTGTATGTCACATACCCAGACCATCCACAGGACTGGAATAAGTACAGATATGTAAATTGAGACTAGTATAGTATATAGTATAATAGTAGATATATATAGTAGTTATATAGTAGTTAGTATATAGTATATAGTATGACCATGTCGGTAAGAGAAACTCTTCCATGAAGGGATATATGTCGATATGTCATGACGACATGGTCTCATCCGTTCGTCAACTCGAGTCGCTTCAGTTTGTTCCATCAGTCGTTCGTGGTTCCAGGAGGTTCACTCCGATCGCCTCCAACCTAATAGCTTCTTGTTCCTAGTAGTGATGCCAGGAGCCCCGTTCGTAGCGTCCTTGTTCCTAGTAGTAAGGCCAGGAGCCCCGTTCGTAGCGTCCTTGTTCCTAATAGCAATGGCCTCCAACCTTCAGCTCTTTCCCTTCAACGTTCCAGGAGGTCCACTCCTTCAAGAGTCACCGCCTTGGACAGTCGTGCCATGAGCACAGCTCACAGGACGATCCTGAAAGCTTTTTGCTGTTGACATCGATCCGTGAGTTCGTACCTGGCAGAACAGGTACAAGCATATACTTGTTTTCATAGCTAGGCATGTCCCATTTTCTTTGGAGGGTCTGGGTGTATGTTTTTTAAGAGATACTTCTGAACAGCTCTTTTACCCTCGAACTGAATGGACTACGTGGAGGCAGCTCTTTCAGGGACAGTTCTTACACTTCGCTGGTGCCCCTGATGTTCTTCCCGTACTGATATTTGACTTCACCTGGTTTTGCTTAATGGATTTGTTATGTTTATTTTCCCGACATGGGTCAATCCCCCTGGCATGGGGAATAAGTATTTGTCATACCCATGTATGCCATATATAGCCTACATTGGGGTGGTTTTGGGGGTCAATATAATCATATATGGCAGTCCCAGACTCGTCGTGTCTGGGATATTCCCTAAGGGTCGACCGTCCGAATCGGATGCTGGAGGTTTTCGTACGTACGAAACAAGAGAATGGTCGTTGCCTGGGGCCGGACATCCGAGCTGCTCGGATGCTCCTGGACCCTTAGAGCCTTAGGGACTATGTTTGTCCTGGTTCCACCGCACATCCAAGTTCAGGAGCAAGCCCACCTACGCTCGTCAGCTCTTGGACCAAGCAGCTGCCTGGTGTCCTAACCCCGCGCCATCCGCGCCATCCAGCACGAGACGTCGCGGACGTCGCGAAACACATCGGTGCCGGGGCCGCAGGTCACGGTGTACGTCTTCGTGTACGTCTTCGAGTCATGAATCAATGGCAGTTTTCCAGCTGAGCTAAGGGTATAGTTAGATTTCAGGGTGATCCGAAGAAAACAGGAGGCCATGGTTCATTGCTATGGATGATTTCAGGGAGTGTAGTGGTATCAGCGTGGTTCGGGTACGCCACCACCCCGAATCCGGCCGGATCGCGATCCCGTGAATTCGTCGAATTTCCGTCGGCGAAAGGCGATTTGTCGAACAGTTCCCCTGCTGGGGTGGGCTCCAGTCGTGCCTCCGTGGCGGTTGGGGTGGGTGCCAGCGGGGCTCTGACTACCTTCTGAGGTGGTTGGAGCCCTAGGGTTCAATCAGACAAGGGGTTTTCTGCTGTGTGAGAACTTGACCTTTGCCATTTGGAGTATCAGCAGGTGACATAATGTGTAAGCCTTGTGAAGGATTTCTCGTGCCAAAGTTGGTTCTTCTGTCGAGTCTAACGTCGGGATTTGTTCAGTCGATAGCTAGATCCTCCACTTGGCTGGGTTTGATGCATCAAAAGGTTTGGAAAAGGAATAAATTCTTCAAATCCTGTCCCACTGCATGTGAGACTTATCCAATTTGGAAGTGGGTCTTAGTGAAGACATGTGAAACCTGCACACCTCCGCACCCCTTTGCGACCTTTTTTTCTGCGACCCCTCCGCAGCGTTGCTCGGTCAAATTGAGCTAAGATCTCAGGAGTCTTAGACCTCCTGCGCCCGCAGAAACCTAAGTTCCGACAAAATAACAAAATACTATTGTCTCTCCAACCAAAAATATTCTTTTGACCAAGAATATTAGACCAAGTAGCTCTTCACGGGCTTGCCGTCCCGCTGCAGCTCGAGCTTCCTTTCCAAGCCCATCACTTCTGGCTTTGGCCCACGCTACCGAGTACACCTCAGTCAAAACGCTTGATGATCTTTATCTTCTATTTTTTAAGACGACAGGTCCACATGACTTAAGTTAGCTAAGACACGCTGTGCAACTTCTTGGCAAGATCTGTCTTCTCTCCAGCACGCTTCTTGGATGGAGAAGAAGCCGGCTTCTTCATGCACTTCTTTGGGCGTTTGTTTTTGCCGTTTGAAGCCTTGGGACTTTTTGTAGATCCCCCTTGACCCTTGGCCTTGGCTTTTGCTTTCGGTTTTCCGGATGATTTTGCTTTTGCTTTTGCCACACACTTTGGCTTTGCCACACCCTTTGGCTTTGCCACATGCTTTGGCTTTGATTTTGGAGTAGCCATTGCCTTAGATTGCCACACAAACCAAACAACACAAACCTTTGACTGAAAACTG